TAATAATAATAATAGTAGCTGTACTTTCGCATCTTTTCTTGTGTGTAAAGAGAGACAAAGGGAGATCCCATTTCTTCCCTTTTCCCTGCCAAAATGACAAATTCTTGCAATCAAACTCCCTTTAAGACTTTCCACCTACTTTCATTCAACTTCCTATTGTAGAGCTTCCTTTGAGCTACTGATCACATTTTGCCACAGTATCATGAAGACTTTAAACTGCTATAAGAAAATCCTACCACTAGAAGAAGCACTTTGTCCCCCCTCTTTCTAGCCTCAACCTGTATTTTCTTCCCTTCTTTTGTGCTGGAGTAAGTATTTGCAAGGCCAGGTGGTGAACCAGATCAGCAAACCTAACAAATTCAGTTTTATTTTGCCAGGTTAATTTTAAGCCAATTTGTCACTCTTTGTTGCCCTTTCACATGCCAGCATAAGCCCACGAGGGAGGGCAGGAATGAGCTACTGGGGTCAGGGCAGGTTGGGAACACTTACTTAAGCAGCAGAGTCAGCTCAAACTGGCTTCAAGTGATGGCTAAACCACAGATGTAGCCACACCAGATACTCCATCATTAACCCAAGAAAGTACTCCATTATAGATTCTAGCAAGAGTGACTTTTTCACACAGAAAACCAATTTTTGATAAATCTGTGTTTTCAGAACAGAGTGACAGGAACGACTTCTTCAACAGTCATCACTGGGAAGTACTTTCAACACAGTTGTACACATGCATGAGGCCACTTATGGTGCCAGAGAGCCTGGGCTGCTCTTTGACAAATTGCAACAAATATACTTGTTTCCCAGAGCGCCCATTTCTCAACGATACAGCACAGTGAGGCAACAGGATTCGTCCAAGGTGTTAGCATGACAGCTGTAAATTTTGAGAATTCACTTCGGGGACACTACACCAGGGAATTTTTAATTATTTTTTTTTCCTTCCATGGTATGGAATAGTATAGTTTAAATTGTCTAATGAGAGCAGCAGAAGAGCTAAGTGGAATTTGATATTTTGCTTAATGAGGTGTGTAGAAAATTGCTAATGGATTTAATCTGCATAAATTTCTTCTAGCATACATATTCCCATGCACCCTCACACACTCACTCCAAAACTCAATAGCTAATGATGAATTTCATTTGTTCCCACATCAGAATTAAGACTATTTAATGAATTGTAATGTATAGTTAATTATCACATTCATAACTAAGACCCTGTCTATATTGAGGCAGGGGGAGGGAAAGAGGTAGCTCCTTGCTACAGCTATACCAAAGTACTTAGTGTGGCTACCGTGTAAATGCAGGCACTTGAAGATGAGGCTTGCAACAATGGCATATACCCTGCTGAGTAACCAAGGTGTATATTTTCAAGAGAAAATGAATTTTGTATAGGTGTAAAGTGCCTTTAATGGATAATACTTTCTCCTCCAGGAATACATACAAATATAATCAAAGCAGGGTAAACATATCCCTGACAAACCCTTCGCAAATCATGTAAGTGATTAATTAGTTACTAAGCAGGGTTCGTTCTATTGCCAATTCACAGAGTATTCCACAGAATGGAGAGAGAGCAAGAAATACTTTTCTCAGCAAAGGAAATGCATAGAATGCCTGGAGTAGTATTACATGAATTTTCCTTCTGGGGTGAAAAAAGGAGAGTGAACATACCAGGAGGGCACTTCAGCTATATAAGCACAAACATACGTTTGAAATGGTGTGAAACTAGACATTTTTCTCTCAAGTCTCCCCAGTCTCTTGCTAGTGGCAATTAATAATGGATTGTTTCTGAAACATAGCAAATCCTCCTGACATTTTGCAATTGTCCCATCATGCCAGTCAGTGAGCATCTGTCTTATGGAATGTCTCCTTTCATACAGGCTGAGTACTTTCAAAACCCAATTTGCCTCTTAAGTATTGCATTACTAAATGCATAAAATTAAATATCTTACTGCAGTATTACTTCGCCTTGATTATGTTGCCAAGAGGGGTTTGCCATTAATTAAAATAACACTAAGTTTTGAAACTGCCTTTTCTTTTGGTTAAGGAGGAGTTGTGAATTAAACAGTTCAGATGTGGGCAAGTTTAGAGAAGTTACTTCAGGAAGAATCTGACCCATTGCTGATTGGTTAAATCCTAATGCGTATCTGTAACTTCTTTTTGTCTTTGATGAAAACCACTTTTTGGTTTTGATGGTAGTCAGCAAGCACATCTACTAGACAATAGCTAGCAAGGCATCTCTGGATTGTTTGTTGAGCTATATGACCTTCGAAAAGTTGGGGGGAAGAAAAACAACAGAAAGGAAATTGAAGCAAGTGTACATCAGTGAGCTGGTAGAGGCTTCAGGGAAATCAGCCATGCTACTTGCCTTGCTCCTACTTCTGTATAGCCTTGTGGGGCTAAGTCATAAAGACACAAGTACAAGAGAGAAGAGAGAGGTAGAAAATGGACAAAAACACACCTAGAGACTCTTGAAGCAGATGAATACAGTTAGACATTGCAGAATAAAACATTTTTGGACTTGCTAAATGCAACCGTTCAATATAACTTAAAAAGATTTGTATTCGTTAGCAACATATCATCTCAAAATCTCTTTTGGAGCCTAGTGTTACCTGCATTCTCTCTTTTACCTCTTCTTCCCTTGGAATTTATATGTCAAATTTACTGAAATTTATTGTATACCTTGCTTTTCAAGGAAAATACCCCAGAAATGCATTATGATGACAAATAACCACATTAAATATAATATCACATCACAACATTTGTACCTGAGGCTTATTTACTAAAAAGCCTAGATAGACCATTACCATTCCCACAATTCAGTACCATTCAATATTTTTATTTACATTTAGCTTGTATAGTCTAGCATGCCTAAGAAAATTATTTCAGATAGCGACTAAACCAATAAGGAACAGATTTAAATGGTGATATTCTGTGTCCAGAAACAACTGCATCTCAGGTGACAATAAGCACTTTTTTCCTGAGCTACCTATTATCTATTCAGGTGACTGAAATAACAAGACCATCTGGCTACTTGCAAAGAAGGTTACAGTCATCACCTCTGTCGTCCCTGGCCTTTGGAGGGAAGGAGCATGGAGCCTTGATATTCCAGATATGTCAGGCTCGCAGGGCTGAACAGTTGCAGTCTTTCTACTATACAAAGGCAGGGGACAGTTTATTCCTGTCTTTAGCCAGTATGTTTCAGGACTCAAGTGTTACTTGAATGCCCTTCATCAATGAAGTTATTCCATAATAAGGGAGGGCATGAATTTCAACTGCAATATGTATTCAGAGTGACTCCGCAGACATTATTATTTTGAAGGTATAAGGCACCTTCAAAGTTGGAGTCATGTGGAGATAAGAGTTTCTTATTTTTACAGAAATGGGTCTATTTATGCCATACTTTGAATATAGACCAGCACCCAAATTCCAGCCAAAATTCACCTCTGTGTTTGCATTGTGGCAAGCTTCAGACAACTCTAAGGAGCTGAAGTAAGAGTACCTTACCTTACCAAGTCTCCTTATCATAGACTCAAGCTGTGTTTGCCGTGTAGGTGCATGAGTATGCTACACCTAGTACTGTCACCATCACCAACAGTATCTGATATTCTTTCTGCAACATCACGTGCTTGACACTGAGGAGGCAGCCCTGGCTCACTCCTGCAGCAGCTTTAATATTGCACATCATCAGGTCAGATAGATACGATCCATGACAACCTACATACACCCCACAGGCAGTATGTGGAGGCAAGTGGGTCAGGGAGTACAGCGAGCTTTAATCTGTTCCCATCTTGGCCACAAAGGGAAAGTATATTGAGTCCAGGTACTGCCTTTATGAAGGAACAGCTAGGCACTTTTCTGTTTGCTGCTAGAATTAACATGTAGGTAGGGAGAGCTTGGGCTGTCCTCTGATGCTTCCTGAAGCTCTCCCCTCCCACAACACCTTCCCCAAAACCATGCAGTAAGCTACAAGCAACAATTTAGTCTTTCATTCATGGTTCCCCTTGTGGATCCCTAAGCTCTGCCTTTTGTATTGAATATATTTTAAAGTAAAACACAAGAAAACCTCTCAAAAATACATGAAGAAAATTGCTTGGTTTGTATCAGTTGAATAAACTGTGGGAAAATTCTTTTGGAAATAAGTTCTATAACACCAGATTTTAGTATAAAACAATGTAAAGAAGTGAACCTGCAAATGTTATCACTTTTATCCACAAACAAATCTGAATTAGATTACACTAGTGACAAAATTACTAGTGTCTTCATATATATCCATAACTTCAGTCCTTCAGTGGATTTTCCATGCACCTCCGCAGCAGAATCCTACAGACAGTGTTAAGACTGACTTAAACCACTGTCATGATGTTATAGGAAAAAAAAAATACTGCAGCTGTGGCATGGTTTTTTGTCCACAGCAGAATCCTACAGACAGTGTTAAGACTGACTTAAACCACTGTCATGATGTTATAGGAAAAAAAAAATACTGCAGCTGTGGCATGGTTTTTTGTCTTTTTTTAACCTAAGAGCTTCAGAAAGAAGCCAATTAGGTCAAAGCTAGCCACAACACAGTATATCAGTGTTAGGTATTTTATATGTAAGTAGGTTAAGTGATTCTATATGTTCAGTAACTTCTCCACAGACCATTCACAATCAAGATGATTTCCACATGCCTACACTGGAATAATTAGACATTATTCATATCCAGAACATAGAGAAAAGGTACATAGAAACACCTATTGCACTTCTCATGAATAAGCAAACTGTTATATTTTGTAATGTTTAAGACCAAATACCTGACCCAAATATTGACATAACACCAGGGCATGGTTGGGGACACAACAGGCTGAGTACAGCAAACTTATTGGAAATGGTTATTAAATTTCTACATTGGCCTATCAGTTATGTCATACTGGGTTATGTCATTCAGATTTCATTGTATCATATCATGCCTGTCAAATTATAATGGTGTCTGACTGGCAAAACACAATCTAGTACAAAATTTGATTGTATCTTACCTATTTGGGGGTTTTGAAAAGCACAGCAGATTACATGTCCTTTAAAGTATCATAACTTTCACCACAGACTTCTCGTCAACTTGCTGTTCAGCTGAAAAAGAATATTCACAAATGAATGTCACATGTCACGTAAACATGCAATAAAACTGAGACAAGCCAAAATTATGAAGTCCAGGCAAGAGATGAGGTAGCTAGCTATGTTTTTAAGAGTGACTATCTAAGGGTGACTGAAATAAAATACTGAATGCTGTCAGCTTTACAACTCAAGGATTAAAGCGTATGGGGCAGGTAGAACAGGCCCCCTAAGATGAACTGTTCATAGCCAGTGTCACACAGCTACATCTATATAGTCTAACAGCACTATTGCATATTTAAGTTACTAACACAAAGTTTAAATATGCATCCCTGCTTAAACATTTTATTTGTATTACTATGCATTAAACAATAACATTGAGGTCCACAGGACAACTGCCACATTGGCTAAAACAAGATCTGAGTCTGCCTTATTTCAGTCTTACTTTCAAGGTATTTATGCTGCAAGTCCTTTCACACAGTTGAAATAAAAACTTTCATAATGGCTCATAGATGAAATAATTATTTTTAAAAAAGCATGATGTACAGGCTATCATTAAAACTCACTGAAGTCAACTTGTGAGGTATTTTAGCACTAGCATTTTTCATACTGGGATAGCTGACTAAAGCTGGGGAAACACCAAAACCACAAACGTTTTCTGATTCAAAATCTTTTGCCAACAAAGATACAAGAAATTTTGAAATGAGAAATCAGTGAGAGCCGAAAGATTCTTGGCAGCCTCTACTATTTCTCAGCTTGCCAAAAGCATAACTACTGAGGAATATCCTCAAAAAAAAAATTAAAATAAAAAAAGCATGATGTACAGGCTATCATTAAAACTCACTGAAGTCAACTTGTGAGGTATTTTAGCACTAGCATTTTTCATACTGGGATAGCTGACTAAAGCTGGGGAAACACCAAAACCACAAACGTTTTCTGATTCAAAATCTTTTGCCAACAAAGATACAAGAAATTTTGAAATGAGAAATCAGTGAGAGCCGAAAGATTCTTGGCAGCCTCTACTATTTCTCAGCTTGCCAAAAGCATAACTACTGAGGAATATCCTCAAAAAAAAAATTAAAAAATAAATAAAAAGAAAGAAAAAAAGACCATGCTGCCTGCCTCAGTGTCTTTCTAACACAGAAAGCACAGATGCAGTTGACAGTCACAAACTACTTTCTTGCACTATAGAACAGGGCCCCCATGTCATCATTTAGGAAACTTTCACTTCTTCGAGTAATAATTTTGAAATCATAAAACTCTTAATCCCTGACAAAGAATAAGACTCAGATCTGACTACATCACAGGTTATCAGGCAGCAAGAGAAATAGGTAAAATAGATTAGATAGATTGTCTTGTCATTTTGTTCTCACTTGTAATCATGAAAATATAGGAAAAGCTAATTAACATCCTCTTTTTCTGTCAGGTTCTCACACCAATCTTGGGCAGTTGTTATTATGGAACCATTTTGTTTAAGAACAAACTCAGGGCAATGAGTTAGAACAGATTCATCACAGAATAGAGGTGGACATGTCCAGATTTGCCAGGTATGCTTTTTGAGCAATCTGAAGGGAGTTTACAAAAACATGAAACAGGAAATTTCACTATTGCTCTCTAACTGTCATTTTCTCAAGTGTGGGCCCATCACATACAATGGTTTGAACCCTGGAAACAAGGACTGGATGCAACACTTCATATTTGTTACTATGTTTTGTTTGAAAAGAGAAAGGAGCTGCCTATTCAAATCTCACACGCAGACAAGTACACACATTTCATATGTCACTCAGAACCCCAGAGCTCTCAGTTAAATAAAGTTCATTACTGGAATCTAATAAAAATGGTGAACGTATTCCAAATAGCATCTACATCAGGGTGGACACTGCTGCTGTCTCTTAAGAACAACATATAAATGATGTCTTTAAAATTGTAAGCATCTTAAAAACACTAGAAGAGATAGCATGCAAGGGAACACCTATTATGCAACATGTTGTTAAAACAACCAGATTAGGTCTTGTCCTTCTATTGGCCCAAAACATGTAAAACAAACCAGCAGTGTTTCACATTAGAAATTTGTTCAAGCAATAGTTTTTTCATGTATTTTTATAAAAGATTACTTCCTGGTTTTTGCTTCATTTGTAGCTGTTATAAGATTATATAAGACAAAGCATATGCTTCCAAAGTTATCTAATTGTCCCTGAGAAATAAGGTTCTTTTGTTAAGAAGTGGCTTTGCCATGACATTGCTACTTCTCCATTGGGAAACAGGAAAATACATAACAGATCTACTCATGAGCTGAAAATAAATGTTTGAGAAAAAAAAATTAAATGGTGAGTTTCATTCAATTTGGGTACCCAAAATATTTTTCACCTTTTCTAGTAGACTGTTCTTGTCACACCATAATGAAGAAGACAGCTATAGACAGAAAAAGGGATGTTCTTTCAATATCATGCTGTTAGGAATACTTTCCCACTATTTCTAGCACTGAATAGTATTTTGTGTTACAGGTAGAGCAAATGAAGAAACCTACTTGAAGAATAAAATATTACTCAATAGGAGTAAATGTGAATGATTCTTATAAAGAAAAAATTAAATTAATTTTTAAGTATCCAGAGTGAATTTAGGTAATCTTATTTTCAAATTAAGTCTCATACTACCTGCAAGTGCCTTATTAAACACTGATGCATAGCACTTGCTCTTCCTTCTTAAATTCAGACATCCATTTCATTTACATGCAATATTTTAAATGCATTTTTTAATACAATGCATACCTCTGTACTACAAATTGCTTTTATTTGTCATGAATTCTAATGCTCATTTTTTATTCTGCTTTGAAATATCCAGCCACTCTTGGCATTTTTTTTTTCCTCTCAGGCTTTGATATATTGGAATCATTTCCCCAGGCAGCAATCAGTGTTGATAAAAGAGTTTGAAACTCAATTCACAAACAGATAGCATATTTATGTGTAGGAGAACTAGTACTTATTTCCACTGTGTATCAAAGCAAACACAGGAATACTGCTTCTGATAGAACTGAATTCACACAGCAAGACAGACATATGGTGGATTTCAAAAATGGTGCCAATTTACAGCATTTAGGGGTTTATTTCGCTTCTGGAGATAAAATTCTGTATGTGCAAATCACAACAAATCATCACCTTGACCCACAGAGGTACCCATTGATACTGAGGGCTGAACCACCTCCTGCTCCCTGGTGGGCCAACCTTAGCCAAGGGCCAGGCTCCACCCAGCCGGGCCCTCACGCCCTCAGCGTGATGGTGGGAGGAAATTAAATAACCAGACTTGATTTGTTAAAATTAATGAAAATCACTAATTAAAATAACCAATTAAAATAGATTCAGGCGGCAAGAAGAAAAGATGAACACTCAAACTTCACCTTTCTTCCCAGCTCTCCCAAGCTCACCCTCAATCCCTCACCCCGACTCCTCTAGGCCCAGCGCCAGGCGAGAGAGGGGCCATGGCAGCACACAGCCATTCCTCTCTCCTCACCCTGCCCCTCACGCCTTTCCCCCGCTCCAAGCATGGTCCCCCTCACCATGGCCTGAGTTTCCCATCAGGAAATACCCATCTGCTCTGGTACAGTGTCCTCCACAGCCTTCACTGGGTATTGGCTCCTCCACCTTCATGGTGTTCCCTCAGC